GATCAGACAAATATTTTAAAGGATTTTTTTTTTTTTCAACAGAAAATCTAGGCTTTGATACCAGTATTCAAAAATATTTCAATTTCTTGGCAGCAGATGTTCATTGAGAAAAGTGTCCAATTAGTTATTTAATGAATGTTTAATATGAATTTCCTACCTTCGTTTTGCTGCCGCCAATAATATTCATATATTTTTGGGAGAATAAAAAAGTTCATTTTTGGTTTGATTCTGCAATTTTCAAAATGAAAATGAAACACTAAAACTAAAACTTTGTACAATTTTTAAATAAAAAAAAAGATTGACAATGTTCGGCCAAAGTTAGTTTTTTTTTTTGTCCGAAGCTGAACCGAACTTTGATGACCGAACATGGCCGAAGCCCATAAATTAAATTAAAAAAAAGAAAAAAAAGCCCTGCTGCCCGACGACTCGGACACGAACTCGGATTTCTCTATTGCCAGTCTAGTGCTTGGTTCACTCGGCCATTGCGACTGACCACCACCAATATCATTTTTTCTGCCCTTTATCCACTGTGCGTCGTGGGCTTCCCTTCTTCAAACTGAGGTATCATTAATGAAATTTTTGCTGAAATATTAAAGTAGAAATCGTTCATTAGAAGAAAAATATCTTTGTAAAATATACATATCTAATGGTATCTAAAAACGTTAAGTATATTTACAGCAATACCTCTCAATTTTATTTAGGAAACTTTTCATACCTCTAAACATTTAATATTAAATAGAAAAATTCATTGAGGCACAAATTTACATAAATTAATTTGTGTTTGAGTGGGATTTGCAATGCAATTCTTCGATTGGCATAGTCTCCTACATACAGTGACCCAAACAAATGTACAAGTGTTGATTTTTTTGAAATATTCGTAATGTTTTTCGAGTTAAAGTTTATTGTTATTTTTATATGGCTTTAAACAAAACCATATTAATCCCTTTTTCAAACTTTATACAAAATTTGCGAAAATTCATAAAATCTTCATCTAAGTAAACTGATCTTTAAGCTCATTCCAAATGGATATGAAATATTCTTTACAGTCTCTTAGTACCGTATCACTTATGAACTTCTTATGCAATACTTCCGCTACGACGCACATGCAACCAATAGCATTGCCAAATATATAAATCAACCAAATGTAGTAAAGATCCCCCAGCTGTATAGCCTTGCAACTGCGTGGCTTTGTCAAATCCTCAAAGTTAAGCTTTCCCGCCTTGACCATTTCAAATAGACTCATCGTCGTCCAATGATGCCACATACCATATGCATGCATATCCAGCAAATAGGCGTTGAAAGAAGCACGGTAAACGCTATTTTCCGCCAAAGGCACAGCCAATAAAATTTGTTGATGAAATTCGAGCGACTCAGAGATGCGAAAAAGACGCTGCGAGAAATAGCGCTGTCTTCGCGAAACCATTGCCCATGTTTCCGAATGTACCGAGTAGGCGAACTTCGTGTCTAGACTCTTGCGTATGGCGTAGTAGTCGCGCAACTCGGACATAATGAGAAAGATGTCTTTATACTCACGCATGAAGGACTCAGGCATTAACTTTTCCAGTAACTCAAATGACCCCTGAGGTATGGCAATTTGTATGTTACGCGCTTTTAGATCATCATAGCTGTTGATTTGTTCACCGGATGGCGGTTGGTTAAACGAAGCATTAAGATGAGCGCTGTAAACAGTGCTCCAAATTATGCCCTGAACAAAAATTAAAAAATAGAGCAAATAAAATTTATAGTTTCGTTCTCGACGCAATTTAAAGGAGAGTCCGACAACGCCACGAAATATCTTATCATTGAAGATCATCTCGTTGTTAGGCCACTGCTGCGACCTTCGCGGTATGCGCCCGCCATTGGCAATACGCGCGTAGAGTAGAGAGAATATAATGAAAATGATTACATCTAGGATGAGCGTATTGCTGCTGAAAACATACTTGTATATTTGATAGCGCTCAATGTAGCCAGCGCGTGGCAACATCGGCATCCAATGACCGATTTCTACCACGCCCGAGAATCCGTATAACGACATATTTTCGACAGGCATTTGCAAGCATATTGGCAAATCCAAATCGTAATTGCTGGCGAGATCTGCCAAAATGGAGACTTCGATGCTAGCGCCCACATTCACGGGCATCCTGTAGGTGAGGCTGGCGTTGAGCTTCGCAGCATATGTCGAAATGAGGTGATAGATATAGCCTAAGCTTTGCTTCTTACCTCGCTGATCTGTGTAGATGATGGAGCCCGGCTCGGCCTGTGAGGGCATGGTGCGTAATGCAAAGCCATGCAGATCCTTGAGCCGATTCGGATAGTACATGTCGGGCCATTGCACATGCTCTATAGTGAAATTGGGAAAACGATTGAATGAGTAGAAAAGTCCGGTCGTTGCGAAATCCTTGCGTATTGCCAAAACATTCAACAGCTGCTCCTGGTCGCAGTAGGTGAAGAGTTCTTCCAACTCAGCGAACGGTTGGGAAGCTGGAACATTTTTTAGCAGAAATAATACTCGAGTTTCCCGCATATGCAGCAATCCGTCAGCCATGTTGTCGAGCAAATTAAGGTCCACAAAATCGTCCAGACAAACAACATTGAGAATTGCGCGATTATAGTGCGCATTTAGGTAGATCGCGTAGCTGGCGTTGAAGCTGAGCTTCGCGGTATAGTTCGGCGAATTCCAGCTGGTGAGCTCAGCAAAGCAATCTGCTGGTTCACGCCGCCAGAAGACCAGTGTGCTAAAGCTGTGCTCTCGTTGAATGGCGGCAAGTAGCATTTCAATGGAATTTGGTTGAGTTTTATTTGCTGCACTCTTTTGCTGCGCAATGCATAAAGTTCCACTGGTGCACAACAAAAGTACCGAAGATTCGATAAAAACTGCAACGAGCAATTTCACAACGTACATTTTGTGGCAAGTTTGCGTTCGGACTGGTTGTCAGCACTTGTGTGGGGGGTTTATCTATGACAAGAGTGTTGCGCTAAGGAAAATCAAAATATTTAAAAATTCGTAAGACTAATACAATAAAAGTGTATAGCTGTAATTTTTTTGTCATGCAAGGATATAATAGGCTATAAAGCACTAAAAACAATGTAAAGAAGAAATATGTACACACTTTTAAATTAGCTCATGTCACACAGCCCATGCAAAAGTCGATACTTTGTGCGCTAAGTTCGGTAATCGTGTTAACAGCCATCTGGGCATAGTCAATTGTCCAACTGAGCGGGTCAGTGTTTTGCGAACAATCCATTAAGGCGAATAACGAGCAAGTTATTTGTGAGATAGAGCCAGAAGCCGCCCCCAAGTTCATGGAAAACTGGGTTAATAGGCAGAGGCGTAATTATAGGGTGGCATGGGCCCCCGATCCGAGAGGACCCCGGCACGAGAGACCGCGAGCTCAGAAATAACCTAATATTTTTAACAACACTAAGTAGTTAAAAGTTATAATTTTTTTAAGTACATACATAAAATTAATTAAAGTGAGACACAACTAAAGACCAACATTTTTGTGGTTAACGTTACATTCGCACATATATTTTTGAAACGTTGTGTAAAAGCGAAAGTTTTTCATTTATTCTGATAATCAGCCCCGAAAGCTACATTTATAAACAGACACTTGTTTCCTATCTTTTGTTGTTTTAAAGATAAAGATGGTTTCATGTGGTCTTTAACGTTACATTTTTTGGAAGTCAGTTATATATAGCGTCACACATACGGAAAACCAGGGACGTGAACCGGATGAAAAAATTGTTGGTTCGGTTCAGCGGTTCGAACCGTTTTTGCACTTTTGGATTGGTTCGTCGAAGCGGTTTTTTTGATCTTTGAACCGGGGTTTCGGTTCGGTTCAACGGTTCGAAAAACAAAAAAATAACGCGCAAGGTTAAGGGTCAAGTGTCTGTCAAATGAGATGGGTTGCCTTTACGTTGCCACGGTACGTACTACCATGTTTATCAAAAAGAAAAAAGTAGGTACATTTATCTATTGAAATTGGTTAAAACGAACCTTTAAACCTTTATAGAAAGTGGTTCGGTTTTCGGTTCGGATCAAACATTTGTGGAAAATTTCAGTTCGGTTAATGGTTCAGTTAATTAATAGAAAAAAGCGGTTTTCCGGTTCAAAACCGGTTCGGTTCAAAACCGGTTCACGTCCCTGCGGAAAACTGGGCAAATCCTATAAAGTTAAAAATTAAACTAAAGTGGTTTAATAACGATCAGGGTTCAAAGAAACTATAAAAATTTTAAATTTTCGAAAATACACGTTGAATTGAGTTATATATGCTATCGTTTTCTGCAACTACTATTCCATGTGTATGTGAAACTCCCATCTCGTTACCTAGGCTATTTAAAAAGTTATAGATTAAAATATAATAAATATATCAGCAAAATTAAATTGTTATTTCATTAAAAATATGGAAAAAAACCATGCTGTAGAAAATAAAATTTATTAGATATTTAAATAAAAAGCACACATTATTGGTAATATTGTTGGGTAACTACTTAAGTGGTTTATTAACCTAGAGTACTAATGTTCGTCGATTCGACGAATAGGTACTATTTTTATTTTACTAATTTTTTTTCTTTACTGAGTGGTATGACTGCGATTGGACGCCGCTGTGGTGTTGTGGTAAGAAGTGCGCGCTTCCACTCAACAGGGCCTGGGTTCAAGCCCTGATTCAAGCAACATCGCAAAAAAATATAGAAAACAGGTTTTTTCTTAACAGCGGTCGCCCCTCGGCAGGCAATGTCAAACCACCGAGTGTCATGAAAAACAGCTTCTCATAAAAATACAATCGCCGTTCGGAGTCGACGTAAAACTGTAGATCCCTCCTCTTTGTGTGACAACATCAAGGCGCACGCAACAAATCTGAGGAGAAGCTCGGCCAAACAATTTTAATTTTATTTCAGGAGGAACAATAACATATGTGATTTCGATTTCGACAATCGAATTCCCCGATTTTGTCCAAAATTTCATAAAATTCCCCGCCCATAGATATCTCCTTTAATTAATTAATTCATCCCAAAAAAAATATGTATGTCTTTTGATATATTGCTGGTCTTTCTGTTTATTTGATTCATGTAGTATTCATAACGCAAACCAAACGTTTATAAAGTTAGTTAACAAATAAAGAATAAAAAATGTACATATAATATTTACATACATACCGTAGTCGAAAAAACTTAAGTTGACCCAAATATTGACCAGTTTTCACAATT